CCCCCAACACACTCACACCCACACCTCAAACACACAGACAGACACCATGACACCAATTATATACCATTGTAGGAAGATAAATATTGTAAATATTCTGCACTAAATTGTCTAGTTAAACAGGTATAAGGCTGACATGTGCTAGAGAAATAGAGAATATTATGTCTAAGAAAGTGACAGGCTAGAGCAGGATATCTCTGCAATATTAATATTGGATTAACTTGTTTCTGGATAATTCAAGCGTTCTCGATTAAGATGAGTGGGGGCAAAATTTCAGTTAACGGACTTATTGTGATCTGTGAAAGTCTGCCTGTACAGAGTATCAGACTCATTCTATTGAAGGTGTCAATTCTTCTCTCCTTTTCTTACAGCAAGGTATATATGTGGATATAAGCCATACACATTACTTCCATGCTGGATGGAGGCTAATCTGACACTGTTTCAATAGTTTTGATGCCGCTCTTCTTTCAGTGATACGTCATTTCTTTACCACCCGCTCTTCATTATAGTAAGACCAGAATTTCGTTTTTCTTCTCAATTTTGCAGTAACTTTGCACGAATATGGTCATCTCGCCTAGAAGTAAAATAATAAAAAATTGATTAATTTTTTTTAAAAAAGAAAAAAAAGATTAAATCATATCCAACCATGTTTTGTTTTGCTATGAAGCTGCACCAAAGTAATTTTCCATTCTTACACTGACCATGTTTCTTTACATATTTTCAATAGAATTATGTTTTTTTTTATTGATCAAGTGAATTTCTAATATTATCTTATTAATCAATGCAGTTTGAAGTTCCGCCAGAAAAAACTGAGCAGGTTCAACCGAACAGGCCACCCCCACCAGTTGTGACTAAATCTTCTCCAAAATTGCATCCTAATCAAACTCCATCCACTGAAGATTTACCTGGTACATCAGCATAGAAATTTCCACAAATACTCATCACGAAAATAAATATACTTTGAAGTTCAGAAGAAGCTCTTCAACAGATGTATCTTACAACTTTTTTTTTTGCAATTTTATACCACAGTATTAGGTTTTCAGGATGGCTCGTTATTTCTTTTTGCCCCCCTTTGATTAGCTCAGGCTTCTTATTACTCTCTCCCCCAAACTTTGAAACGCACAAATTTTGATGGTATCAATAATCCATGGTTTTGAAGCTGTTACGTGCAATATGTCAAGCCCAGATTTTTTTTTCCCTGCTTAATTTTCATGTACTGTGCTGCACAGAAACAGTGACAATGATACTCTAAAAGATATGATCTTGTTTGCTGATGCATTCATTTTGATTTCTTTTCAAGCTTAAATCTGGATGATGTGTCATTCTGACTCCCGATTTATGTGACATTTTCTCTCATATATCCCCTATATATGCTCGTCCTTGAAGAAGTATGGTATCTGTAGAGCTTTTCTGTGCTGTATAACTCAAGACAAGCTGTGGACAGTGACGGAGACTAATGGTGGAATGTGTCACTGACACATGCTGGGGGGGGGGGGGGGGGGAATTGGTTTAATGCTTTTGATTTAGTTTCACCATCTGTGAACTTGTCTTGATAACATGTTTTCTTTTGTAGATTCTATTAGTTTTTAATTATTTTACCTTTATTTCTTGACATTTTGACCTTGGATGATTTTATAATTATAATTCAATATAAAATTATTAATCATTTAAATAATGTAATTTCCATTTATTGAGATACATTGGATGCAGAAGGCATCTTTACAATGCAAAAAGAGTAGTATCAAATAATTTTGGTGAATTTTTTTTGGTGAATTTTGGTGAATTTTTTTTTGTAGATTCTATTTGGGCTTTATACTTAAATTGATTCTCATACTTTATTTTTCCTCAATTTAGTCCTCGTGCCACGTCTCAATTGCTGACTACGGTCCTTTTTTTAACATGTGTTAAATTTTGGGTGTTAACTTTTTTTACTTATGACCATATTATCCTCATCCCTATACTTTTGATTTCTATATGAAAATTTGTTCATCTTTTTTTTTTTTTGACTTCTGTTGAAAGTTGTTTATCTTGTTCTCCTTCAACGTATATGATCTACAATCTTGAAGTACAAGTCAAAGAGATGCTTATACATTTCAGGAAATTGCTCGAATAGTAGTTCTAAAAAATGAAATCCAAGTATAGTTATGGGGCAGTTGATGGAGGGGAAACTTAATTGCTAAACTCATAGATTAACTGATGTCAAAATGATATCTCAGTTCACAATTGTTTCCTTTGAGTAAATAATTTTCACACAACACACATATTGTATGATTCATATCCATATTGATCTTTTTTGTAAGTCGCCTCTGTGAACGCGTGAAGTTAATTCACGTGGGGTCCACCTGTGAATTAACTATCTCTCTTTCACAGCGGATGCGGCCCACGACTGCAAACAAGAGAGTCAATGACAACCCTATAAATACCCTAAGGTTGTCTAGGGTTTCGAGTGTGCAATTGAGGGCGTGCAGGGAGTCTTTTGGCGGCTGCAGAAGCAAAGTGCAAGGGGTGTTTGCGGCTGTGCTTGGGCGCGCAAGGAAAGGACGACATAGAGAAAAATTAGAGAAAAAACGGCGACAGTGCGTGTGCAAGGCAGAGGTGCGAAAGCTGCTGTCTTTTTTTGAGAAGAAACGTAGAGGAGTTGCCGGCTTTTGAGAGGGTTTTGTCATCCTTTGAGAGAGTATTTGTGTGAGGGATCTGAGAGTTCGTGAGAGGGTTTAGGTTGTGAGATTGTAAACCCTAGTTGTATCTCTCCCTCTAATAGTAGATCTCTCCCCTCCTTGCCCCGTGGACGTAGGCAGTTTGCGAACCATGTAAAATTAGTTTGTTTGTGTTTGTGGCCATTGTAATAGTTTTTTAGGATCCCTCGATAAGTTATTCCTAGAATTAATGAGAGGAAGAGCCGATATTTTGCTTTGTTGAGATATTCGCTTCAGATTCTTATTTCTTTGGTGAGACGAGAATTCTTTTAGCGATCTTTCTCTTATTGTGCATCAAAAACTCTGCCGAAATTTCCGCTGCGCACAACAAGTGGTATCAGAGCTCGGGCTACGTTTGGGCTATTTGGAGGAGTAGATCGATTTGAAAGCTCGTCTAGGGCTTTGTTTGGTGATAAAGATTGGAACTTTTGGTAAAAGACTCTATCTTTTTAGTTTTGGATCTATTCTTCGTTCGTTGGTTCGTTGAGAAAGATGTCGGGGAAAGAAGGTGCTTCAGGTGTCGAGGGTGGTGCTTCTAGCGTGAAGACCATTCAGAGTTTGAATATCCACTCTATGAAGATAGATGTGGAGAAGTTTAATGGCATAAACAACTTTGGATTATGGAGATGCGAGGTTTTGGATACGCTGAACGCGCAGAATTTGGAGGATACCTTGGAGTTAGATGGCAGACCAGATGATATTGAAGAGAAGGTTTGGAAGAAGATGAATCGAACGGCGTATGGTGTGATTAGATCTTATTTGACTCAAGATCTAAAATATGATGTGATGAATGAGACTTCTGCGAAGAAGATTTAGGAGATTCTCGAAAGCAAGTATCTGACAAAGAGTGTTGAGAACCGCTTGCATTTGAAGATGAGACTTTATCGTTTCCAATTGAAGAAGGGAACCTCAATTTGTGATCACATGAACACATACACAAAGCTTCTTGCGGATTTGGCGAATGTGGATGTCAAGATTGAAGATGAGGACAAGGCGTTGCTATTGTTAAGTTCCTTACCCGATGAGGAATATGAGACCTTCGTTCTTACTCTGATTAATGGGAAGACATCTCTTTCGTATAGTGAGGTGACTGCTGCACTTGTGAACTATCAGCTTCGAAAGAAGGATAAGGAGGCTTCAGTTGAGCCGGTAGCAGAGGCGTTGGTCGCAAGAGGGAAGGGTCCAAATCGGAAGAATTAGAAGTCACAGTCTAGAGTAGGACATCCTACAATTGGAAAATATCAGTGTGCTTGGTGCAAGGAGACTGGTCACTGGAAGAAAGATTGTCCAAAGCTCGACGAATGGATGAAGAATAAGCAGAAAGGAAAAAGAAAGCAATCATCATCAAAAGCAAACATCGTTATATCGGATGGTAATATTTCTGATTCTTCTATTTATTCGCTTTCTATCAGTCCTACAGATAGCTATTCGGAGGAATCTGAATGGATGTTGGATAGTGGTGCGGCCTATTATGTGTGCCCTAGAAGGGAATGATTCTTCACTTTTGAGAAGTTGGATAGTGGTGTGGTGTACATGGTCGATAACCGTGCATGTCAGATCCTTAGGTTAGGAAGAATTCGCATTAAGATGTTTGACGAGACTGTTGGGGAATTATATGATGTGAGATATGTTACTTCCTTAAGGAAGAACTTGATCTCGATTGGAGCTTTGGTTGGAGAGGGTCTGAATGTTCGAATTGAGGACATGGTTCTCAAGATTGTGGAAGACTCTCAGATTGTGATGAAGGGCGTCAGGAGGAATAACCTGTATTACTTGACTGGAGGTATAGTGGCAGGTGGAGAAGTGGCGACTTCTATTGATTCGACTAGACTGCGATATTTGGGGCTTGACCATTCCAGTATTGATTCCTTGCATAGATTAAAAGAGAGTGCGAAGACCTGCAGTTTAAAGTCCAGTGAACATGTTGATGTGAGCAAGAAGATCAAGGTGAAATTTGGCACCTCTAATCACCATGCTAAGGATCGTTCTGGAGGAGTTCACGTGGATGTTTGGGGGCCTCCCAAGGGGGCATCATTGAGAGGTAATAGGCGTTTGGTTTCCTTTGTTGGTGGCTGTTCTAAGCGTGTTTAGGTTGCAACCAAATCCCCATTGGAGAAAGTCCTAGTAGTCTCCAACAGATTGAAGAAGTGTGTAATAGACAGAAAGGTGAAGGTACTTCATTCTGATTTTGGTGGGAGGTACAAGATGGACATGTTTCTGTATTGGAGCCGAGCTCACGGCATTTTCAGACACTTTGTTGGAAAGAAAATCTTGGGACAACCAGATAGGGTGGTAAAATTGGAGAACCGTACCTTGCTGAACGAGGATCGGTGTTTGTTGTCAAGCAATGGTCTACAGAAGAGTTTCTGGACTGAGGCTTTGACATATTCGAGCCATCTTACTAAAGAGTTGTCAACTGCTGTGATAGGAGGTAAAACTCAATTAGGTGTTTGGTCTGTTAGACCCTAGAGGGGGGGGGGTGATTAGGGTCTTATGCTAATCTAATCCGATTAAATGCCAATTAAAACTAATTAACAAGTTATCCTAGCAAGTATGAAATACCACAAGATATATGAGCTAGGATAAGCAATGTAAACAATGAGATATATCATATATGATGAAATATATATGCAAGGATATATAAACTAACACAAGGGTAAACAATATGAACTAGATAGTGGATCATATAAATAATGAGCTAATGACAATGACGACAAGAATTATAAACACAAGTATAAATAAACGCCAAAGCACACTCAAACACAAGATATGATCACGGAGTTCGGACCTTCCGTCCTACGTCTCCGCTCCCCACTCCCGGGGAGAAATCCACTATCACAACCGGGTTTTCTACGTTCACCCGAATAACGTTTACACCTCACAGTATCGGTTTTCAACGCTCACCGATCAACGTCACTCCTCACAATCGGTTTTCTAGTTCACCGAAAACTTCACAACACACTCTCGGTTTTCTAGCTCACCGAAAACCTTACAACACTCACAATGTAACAAATATAAATTTGTTCTCTACAATAGATGAGAACTCAATTAAGCACAACTCAATGTTACAATCTCTCACAACCCTAATATACTATGTATGCAAATACAATAAGCTCAAAGTGGGTGTGTGTAACAATGAGTGAAATCAAAATTAAACTAAACTCAAATATAAAATCTAGCTTAAGAACAATGATAATCAAACAAGTATATAAATGTAAAGCTAGAGTTGAGTTTAGGAAAACTTCTCTAGATCAAGACACAAGTATATAAATGTAAAGCTAGAGTTGAGTTTAGGAAAACTTCTCTAGATCAAGATGGAGAGATGGAAATTTGAGGTCCAAACAATAAGATAATCTCCTCCACTTGTGAAATCTAAAACTGCTTTAAACCAAACCCTTAAACAAGCTTAAAACAAGCTTAAACTCTTTTTAACACCCTTGTTTAAAAACTTCTTTAAAACATTCTTTCTTACATGAGAGCTGAGATTAAAGAGGCCAAAAAACCCAACAAAGATGAAAAAAGCCCGAGAAAAATCAGCGCAAAAAGTAGGCCGTTGGGAAAGCAACGGTCACATTGGCAGAGCGGCGGTCGACCGAAATTCTCGCGTCGACTGCGATCCAGGTTCCAAACGGAGAAAACGAACAGAGAGTTCGTCGGTCGACCGGGAGCGGCCCCCCCCCCCCGCCGGTACTGTAGCAGGTATATCCAGTTTTATAAAATCAGTTAAAAATAGTAAAACAGCTCCAAAAATTATGAAATTTTGAGGGAAGGTTCTAGACATGTATAAGAACATGTTAGAGAAAGAAGTTATGAAAAAGAATTTCCCAGTTGAGAGAAATAAATGTTTGAACACAGATATACAGTTTCTAAAAATCTGCTGACATACACGATTTTGTAAAATCAATTGGGCACAGTAAATCAACTCCAAAAATAGTAAAATTTTGAGGAAAGTTTCTAAACATGTAGATAAACATGTCAGAGAAAGAATATATTCATTCAAATGACCCTTCCGATTGCAATTTGTGCAATGAAAGAGATCCATTTGTTTTTGTGGACCATTAGCTCGTGCACGGGAATCATTTGCAAATAAAGATTTTCTTTTAAAATTATTTTGCAAATGAGAAACATTCTTAAACAATGGTCTATTTGGAACATATTGCAATTTAGAAGCTTTTTGTATATCAAAACAAAATTTAGCAAGATGTCCAAACCTACCACAAACATCACATTTAAAAACATGTGGTCTATTGGAAGCATTTGTCAAATGAGATTTTCTTTTCAAATCAAAGCAATATTTGGCCAAATGACCAAAACGACCACAATAATCACACTTGAACACACTAGCATGCTTATGATGAACTTTGTGAGAATGAGCATGTGAATGTGTAAGTGTACAAGATGAAGAAGCTATATGAGATGCACAAGGAACATTAGAATTCTTATGTTTGTGTGCATCATAACAAAACTTAGCTAAATGACCTTGACGGCCGCAAATAGAACACTTATAAGTTTTGCTATACATGTGTGCATAATGAGTGGATGATTTTGACTTAGTCTTGGCACACATGTCCATAAGCCTCTTATGATTATTAATGCATATTTTCAAAGTTGAATCTAAAGATGAAATACTATTTTTCATAAGATTCAAATCTTCATTTTTAGGCACATATGCATTTTTAGAAGTAGAACATAAATAGTTATTTATAAAAGAAGCTGTATCATTCTTTATGTTCTCTACTTCTAACATGGCATCAATCTTAGCATGAGATAGGCTAGCAATAGATGAAATCAAATTTCCATTTTCCAAATTTAATAAGTCATTGCTTTCTTTAAGCATAGTATTTTCATTTTCAATGACATCAAATTTGGACACTAGCTTCTCATGATCGGATTTTAAAACATCATGCTTGCTTTTTAAATCATTAAAATTTTTATGCAATAAGTTATAGGCATGCAACAATTTTTCACTAGCACAAGCAAGTTCATCATTAGGTAAATCATTAATGGTTTCGAACTCGCAAACCTCACTAGGGCTATCGC